TGTTCTACCCGATTACCAACACTAGGCATTTGATTTTTGCGTTTGACCGCTGACTGTTCTCGCCGGCTTATTTAGAAATCCTAAGACCTGAAATTGGAGAATTTTCGATCCATTTATTATACAATACGCGATGCGGTCGCTAAAATTAAAATATGGTCTATTTGTAACACTTCGTGTCAAAGATCAACTGCACGCCACCTAATCATGACCTAATGACAAGTAGTGTATTCGCCGAATATTATCCACGTACAGTACCAGAGAGTACTTAACTTTGCGGTCGAACTGACCAACATTCACTGATATCATCAAATAAAGCATACAGTAGTAGTAGTGGTGAAAAGGATAAAGCTCTAATACAGTAGTATTCGAAGAATCGATGAAACACTGAATCGAAACATTCCAAAACTCAAGTGCTTACCTCTTTTTTTCCAGGCTTTTAGGACTGCTGCTAAACACAAAACAATAATTACTTAGCTGATATTTAATACTTTGTATATCTTAAACGTAATAAACGAAAAGAAACGAGTCTTAGATAAAGAACGTAACAACACTTACCTCGCAGAAGCGTCCATTTTCCCAACACTGTACCACTACATGTTACTCACATTATCATAATCACATTTTGGCGGGAAACATCACCAAAATCTTTGCCACCCGGAAATAGAAGATCGACACAAAATATTAGATGGTTTCTTAAAACACATTATAATCATCAATTAAAAATAAATATCACAGCTAAACGTTCTTACGAAATAAAGATAATCAAGGTTTTTTTTTTGTGGCAGGCGGGTTTGTGGTTGGGTGGGGATACTGGGGGAATTTTCCTGTTTGAATTGAAGTACTCAGTTATGGGTTTTAGAAATAGAGGTTTTAATTAATTCATTCATTTCTTTCTTTATTTTTTATTTATTTTAGCTAAAATGCGTTCCGGGTTTTAGTAATTTTGTGTTCCGGGTTTTAGTATTCCGGTGTTCCGGCGTTCCGGCGTTCCGGTGTTCCGGCGTTCCGGCATTCCGGCGTTCCATGTTTTAGTACAAGCCGGGAAAAGCGCCCCGGGGACCAGGTTGGACATTTTCTATCAAACTGCGCACTTTTTCAGGCTTGAAATGTGCCGTAAGCCTATATTTTGCCCAGACATTGCTCAGCGATACAAAACGTGCTCGAGGTTGCCAGAAATGCAGAAAATTTTGCTTTAAACACCAGAGGTGTTCTAAAGTTACGCAGGCTTTCTAGCCCCGACCTGGCTAGTCTGAGATGTCATGCGTTTCTTCGTCCCACCCCGAAACGGGCTGTGGCCCCTTGGGGGGGCGGGGAAGGGACGGATAACATTTCAGACTACGACTTAGCACTTTTCCCCCTTCAATTTCATTTTTCTAAGGATACAATTAAGGAATTCATGATCGTATTTCAAAACGAAACTGTTGTAGAATAGGCATTTTTTAACAGCTAAAATGTGTAAGCAAATGTTTATGGAAAACCAAAGTTTATCAGGGCCCACCACTTCATAGTCTTTGGCGGAAAGTATTTTTTGGTGTTATGTTTTCAGGGTCTCTCTAGCGGATAACAGTCAATGAAACTAAGGATTTCTCTTTTATAGTTACAGAAGGTGCCGCGTGAGTTTCTTTTTTTTTTAGAATGGTATATTTTTTTGCGGTATAACCTTAGACTGCAAAACAGTCGGTTTTTTTCTCAAAATCAGTAAAGAAATTGGTAAAGCATGGCGTAAGAGTCTTACGTGCGAGAGAAAAAAAAACGTCTCTCGCCAGTCTCGCTCTCTGTTTTCAGCCTTGTTCGAGACCTTTTGTTTGACTGCTCACGGGTACTTGAATACGCAAAAATACGGACTGTTTTGCAGTTTAGTATAACCTGGGTCTCAAAGTTCTTTGTCACGCAATCTCGTTTCGCTTAAGGGAGTAAAGGATTCGGGTCTGTTGTCAAAAAACGTGAGGTAGGTTAAAATGTTTCCCTTTTTTAAAATTATAACGATTTGTTTCATGAGAAATGAGAGCATTTTAAAGAATAATTACCCACACTAAAGCCGTTTTGTACATAAATGATAACTGAGTACAAATACGACAAAAGTAATCAAATACGCACGTAAGGGAAGTGTTGTAGTCAAGAAGTTCATAGCTCACTTTCGCACAGTACAATTGCTTTTCCTTTTGAAAAGTTGCCACTGTGAAATCTAGAATCATTTTTGGTGTTTAAACTGGCGGAAAAGAGGCGAATTTGCGCCAGAGTTTCAAATGCTGTCTAAGTTCTCGCTTGTATTCATCAGTACAACTGCAAGTTCAACGGTCGTAAATCACGCGAGTACCGTAAATGTTTTCAGTTGTAAAAACTCGCAGTTTGAATTGTCCCAAAATTTCATTTCACAGCTTGATAGCGGAAGCATTGCTCTTTCTCTGGAATACCATATTTTAATGAAAGCCATGTACCAGGAAGGGATTTTCGCCGTTGAAAAATGGCAAAATTGATGGTCGCAATAATACTGATTTAGAGGGTATTTTTGAAAAAAAATATTAAAAAATCAGATTGAAATATTTTGAAATTGTAACAACGTTTAGATACAAAGGAAGGATCATGAAATTGTTTAATATAAGAAAAGTCATGGAAGTAGTTTCTGTTTCCATTCACGAAGCGAGGATATCACTCACATTTTTCGGTTGCTTGAAGGCCTCTTGAAGGTGAAAATTGAAAAAAAAAATGATTATTTTGGAAAATACAAAGTCAAACGAACTGAGTCTTGTATTTTCTAAAACAGTTTCTAAAGGGCTTTGATGTAGCAAAGTTTGGGGGATTTCGATTTTTCCATCTTGCACACCTATCCGTGCATTACAGAAAGTCGCTCTTTATTAAGCCAGCAGAGTGTCGAACTGTTTCGACTGAGTTGCGCTGGAAGTTGTTTTGGTCAGTATGCAAATTACCTCGTATCCTTTCCATCAAACTGAAATATCCTGGCTTTCTTCGTTTCATTTTACACAATTTTTAATGAAATCACCATGATTCTGTTATATCAAGGCATGTGTTCAAAGCAAGGCCCGACTCTGCGCGAGCTCTGCTTGCATTTCTGGTTTATACGTACTTTTCGATAAGGAACAGATTTAAAATATAAACAAACAACTGTGTTGGATGAATCTGGCCCCGGTTGTGGCAGGTTTAATGAAATCAAAACTAACATAATAACAACATATATGTAAACCAATTAACCTACTGAATTAAAAAAGGCGCGACAAAAATCCGCCACAAACTACACATCTAAATAAGAAAATGAAAAAAGAAGAAATAGGAAATACCGTTAACAACTGGTAATAACCCGCAGGCAGGTGAAAGGGGAGGAGGAGGCAAAGATCGATTTTTCTCGAGAACTGACCGAGTTGATGACGAGGGAGAGAAGGAAGAATTACTGGGTAAATACCTCGATATACTTAACCCTGACACCGCCCTATAACCTCATTGGCCAGATTTGCAGCACCTGGTACAGCCTGACCTAACGAGTTATCATGTGAGTACCATGCCTTGACATAAATTACATTCAGTGTGCCATTAAATGTCTGGTTTTATGTGAATTTACGCTTTCTGAAAAAAAAAGACTTCGAAGAAACGTTGCGTTTCACTTACAATTATATGCAAATTACCCTTCACCGTCAAGAAATAAACAAAAATAAAATAAATGGATATTGAATAAATAAAGTCATATAAGATTTTAACAGTTCTATTAACAAAGTAGAAACGGATAATCGCATGATTTGTACAAGTCCATCATACCTCATGTCACACCTGAACAATTTGAGCCTCAACAGTACGAACCCCCTCCAACTTCGGCTTAACACGACCATGATACTCCGATCCTCCTCCAAAACCTACCAAATTTATCTGGGCTATAATATTTGAAGTGATTTCGAATTGACTGATCTTGCAAATGATGTAACAAAATTAGACCGCAACATTACCATCTAACACTCTTTTATGCCTTCAGACAGTGTTGACCAGATACATAGTTTCACGCCATTTATATGAAAAAAACTAATTCTATACTATACAACCTTTTTGCCCTTAAATCATTTAATTTTGTGTGCACCCATTACGAGTAAATAATACCAATAAAATAGTGCCCGTTTCATTGCAAAAATACAACAAAGACCGGCAATTTCGGCTTCAAATGATCATTTCACTCGAAGGGACTATGGCTATTCTCAAGACCAACACCTTCTTGACCGATAGGGGTTATTATCGCGAATAAAATGTCTGAACTAGACAAATGAAAACTAAAATGTTTGTTACTTCTCTTCAGGCGGTCAGTGACAATATGCAATCACCTATGATGGCTCGTCCGTGAATTAGGGCTTTTCTTCAAATCTCAGACTAAGAATTGTCAAAGAGTTTTAGCCACTCCGAGCATAAATCGTCTTTATTATTATTATTATTATTATTATTATTATTATTATTATTATTATTATTATTATCATTATCATTATCATTATTATCTGAGAAAAGATATTGAATATTGCATATTCAATTATTACTACTATTTAATATTCTTATCGTTGTTGGCTCATGTTGAAATCGTGCCAGATTTTAAAGAGGAATTGGTGAAAAGATGTTAAATATTGGTAGTGACTGCTAATAGTAATAGTAATAATAATTAGTAGAGAAACATTGTGGAGGATTATATTTCAAAAGATATTTGAGACATCATGATTTTTTCTTTTCTTTCTAACAGATGTTAAGGTACAAATTTCGTTTTAATTCTTTTTAAGTGAAGCACTGTACATAGGTCTTTTTTATGAGTATTGAATTAAGATTTTATTTCATTATTATTATTATTTCTGCTGATAAACGTTCATAGCATTCGATCGCGGATTACGATAATACGTTAATCTACATAACAGTTCTTGAGATTCTACTACAGGACAATCTTAATAATAATCAGTAATAAGCCGACAGTGGAAACGATTTTTTTTTTGACATGGCCTTGGTTTCTTGGTTTAGACAGACAATTACTCGATTTTTACAAATCCGTTGTCATTTGAGTTACCTCCACTCACGCCTGAACAATTCGAACCACTACAGTAAGAGCCCCCTCCCCCGCCTGCTTGGTTTGAGTGTGTTCCGCTACCTCCCCCAGAGTACCCCCCACCTCCTCCTGAGGCACCCATATCTTCAGATCCCCCTCCGCCACCGCCAAACCCTCCGACGGCCCCAGGGGAAGGCCCTCCGTTGTAGCCACTATTCATTTGTCCAGCACGTCCACCTACCCAGCCCTGAGCACGTGAGCCGCCTCTTTCACCGTGTGAGGCCCCGGCCCTGGAACAACCTTGGCCTAACCATCCCGCACCCACTCCCCCATGGTAACTAGCACCTGCACTGTTACACTGACCAGGACTCCCTCCAGTTCCTCCACTACGAACATAACTTGAAACGCTTCCAACGCTACTACTACCGCTAGTACCCGCCTGACCATCCACCCCGTTATACCCGTTAGATGCACCCCCTCCCCCTCCGGCAGCTAACAAAAGCACGTTACTTGTTGTATAAACAAAGCTCCCTCCGCCTCCCCCGGTACCAGCATTGTCCTCTACAGACAGTCCCAGCTGAGCAGCTGTCAAGGTAGTGGACCGTCCTCCATTCACCTCCACTGAATCTCCCCCTCTTTGTCCCGCCACAATGTTCAGTACAGTTCCTTTATTCAAGGTAAACGTGCCCTCTTTGTATGCACCTTTTCCACCGTAGTAAGTTTTGGGACTTCCATAGTTTATGGAGTGCGTTCCTCCTCGAGCTCCCCAGGCTCTGATTCGATAGCGAGTGGTTTTTGGCACTGTGAAAGTCTGAATGCTGCCGAAACGCCCCTGTCCATTCGTTGTAAACGACCAAGGAGCTGATAATGACAATTTATCGTATTTAATAATATGGCAATTTTCCTCGTTTTGTTGAGATACAATATATGTTCCTATAGTATTTAAAAGACGGCTAATACTTAATAAACGACGCTGAGATGTCAAAACGAGACTCAAGGAGAAGAATGCAAAAAGCAATGCTAATGCTTAACTTCCCTTTTATATAATTATAACTTCTTGGAAGTAGAACTGAGAGGATGTGATCATGACCTGCGGCAAGAGAGGATAAAGGGAACAGAGAAGGCATCCCCCGTACACACCCTATTCCATAGGTAATTTGTCTCGAGTTATTTTTAAGACACACAGTTCCCAAGGGGGATTAGACAACAGCCAATCACATAGCGCGAATGTGTTCCGCGTGGATGACCCACGCTCAGAGCCACGCGTCCTTCACGAATTGAGGAAGACTCGGAGAGCGATATTGCTATTCGTTTTGTCGACGAAAATGACTAAAGAGAGATTTCTGCTAAAGCGGTGTCAACGAAATGGAAATTAAAAAAGAATCGCCCTTCCTCTCTTGTATAGAACTAACAGTACAGCAGGGTAATCCTTAACACGCTGAATATTCTCTCAGGATCATTTATAATTTACAGTTTGAAGAGAGCAATTTCTGGTTTGACATTTATTCTTTTATTAGTCTTTTATTATTCAACAAAAATAACACTTGGCGTCCTACTTGCTTTATTGTACAAACGACTGGTTTCAATAGACCGGCAAAATTTCTCATTTTATTAAAGCACTGAGGTTACGACAACTTCGAGTTAAACTAATTTCACGGGTTGTTAAAGAGTCTAGCGATACCCTTTCCCCAGGTGAGCGCCAACTCATTTTGCTTCAATATTCAGAAATGCTCTCGATCTCTTTACGCTTTCATTGCCTTTCGCCCGACGTGATTTGCACGGCGTTTAGTCATGCGAAACCTCCACGAAAGATCCTCGTAGCGCGCGAGGTAACTTTATCCCGATTTTAAACATAACTCGCGAAGAATTACCTATGGAATAGGGTGTGTATGGGGATGCCTTCTCTGTCCCCTTTATCCTCTCTTGATAATATACATGAAAACATTTCTTGAATCTGACTGGCTGAGAGCAGTACAGTGTTTAGTAAACTGAAAACACAGTGCAAAAAGGAGGGGAAATAATGCAAAAAGAAGGAAATATAATGCAAATTTCTTAGAAAATGGAAAACTGTGATTAGCTAATAGACAATGGAAATATATAAGAACCAATCAAGTGCTGCAATCTACTGGTTTCCAAATCTTTCAAACAAAGCCAGGCAAGTATAATTTCTTTATGTTTATTATTAAAAAGTGATCATACAACTTTTCTCATTCAATTTGGAATTTATTTGCATTCGAGTGTTTTTCAAAACGTTTAAATTGCATTTGTCCGACGGGCTCATGCACTTAGTTTTGATACTTTATGAAAAACACATGCATGCAAATAAATTCCAAATTGAACTCGAAGTCGTATGGCTACCTATACTAATATTTGCGGTCTAAATTGTATTTAAAATAATTAAAAAGTAATACCAAAATCCATCAGTTGATAATCACCTCAGGGTGATAATGAGAACTGAAGTGAGGGCTTCATTATGGCAGACGAAACTTAATGGCCGGTGGCTGTTTGCGAGGAGTTAGCATATGCATGAAATCAAGGCTGTGGAGGTTACAGTTTCTTCTCGCTGAGATAATCCCTCATAACAGACCAGACTGATTGTGATCAAGGACTCTTTAAGGCGATGTTACTCGAGACGATTTGCAACGACAATTTTTATGGGGACAATGTTGCAACAATCAGAAACAATGTAGCAACAATGCTGCAACCAGTGTTGCGCTAAACGTCGTCGTTGCGACTATAGTCCCACGTAACATCTCCTTCACAAAGAAAATCAATGCCTCCTTAATGATATCGATATTGTCTTACAAGATGAACACTTAAGTCAAAGAATTCGAAAAGGTATAATATGTCAAGAGATACTGAAATTGAATCAGGAATATTCCGCGACATGGAGACTTCGACAATTCCAGTTGTTCCAATTGTCTTAAAAAGGCAGCATCAGAAATAAATTAAATAACTGAATTGTAATGGATATTTCTTTGGGGAGGGTATTAAATATGAGAGCTATTGATTGGTGTGTAAGCAGGGTAAGGGATATAGCAGAACGATTCTTATAGGTTCCAAGGTTATGTCAGGATGGGCAAAGGCAAGTGAAAACAATTGGGCCGGATTGACGATTTTGTTGATCAGCATTTACAATGGAAGAAGTTTACGTTCACAGTTGTCCAAAATCTATTGGAAGAGATTTTCATTTATTGAATATACGGATATCACCGAGGCAAAATAAAGAATGGTTATTGAACTTCGTAATTCGTGTAATTTGGTCTGATAGCATACGCGAGTGATTTTAAAATCGGACAAGCGCGCGGCGCGAGTTCGAGTAGCCGGTTTGTTGAAAGCGGGACGAAAAGGCTTTTACCTCTCTTTTTGTACCCGGAAGAGAAATGATGCAATATAAAGCAAAAATGGTGCGATTAAAAACAGAAATGACGCAATTTAGGAGAACATAAACGACGGGATTTAAAGCAAAAAGACAGAGTGATTCGTGAATAAATCACGCTGCTGAGAACCAATCAGATTGCAAGGATCGCCAGTGATTTCAAAATGGATATAATCAATTAATCAATCAATCAGTCAATCAATCAATCAAGATAATCGACCTAAAATTATTTCAGAAACAGGAGGACAACTTTATGCCCATATTCCGAAGTCCAAAGAGTGCAACTCGCATCCTTGGCCTAAGCAATAGATCAGTTTATTTTTAGCATATCTGTGGAGTACTTTTTCAAGCGAAAATGGAAGCATCGCTTCGTGTGTGTGCACATCCGGTAAGTATAAGAAATAGGAGGATTGAACATTTTCACGTGATGTCATGGCGGCCATATTGATGTTCTAAAACAATGGAACGGCCGCCTTGTTGGCCGTTTCAAACCAGTCATGTAGGAGTTGAACTCTTTTCTTATATAATGCTGTCTTTTGTTGAATAATTTTGCATAGATGCTGGCCACGTAAAAGAAAACGCTCTAAAAATAAGTAACCATCATCAAAACATCAAAAATACTATTAGCTGGTCTCCAGGCTTTGTTGACTAGAAAGGCAGTCTGAAAATATATATCTCTGCGAAAACGCGAAATCATGGGCATGGGCTCTTGAGTAGACTTAGTCATGTTTGGTAGAATCTGATTATTATTGAAATTACAGAATTGTTGCAATTGAAATATATAAAAGAAAATAAAAGATATATATCATGGAGTACGTATAAGCCACACAAAACGCCAGTCTTCATGTACATACAACTAACATAAAAAGAAATTACAATAAACATGTCTTCCCTAACTTTTAATTTTATATGTCTAATAATTACCATAGCACGTGATTCCATCACCGGAGGAACCAAACTTGCATGCACACACGTGGGAACCAACTGTATTAGTGCACGCAGCATTCACGTCACAGTTGTCGGTTTTGGTAGTGCATTCGTCTATATCTGAGGGGAGAAAGAAATTAGGTTTAAGGTACATCCTTGTTACGCGGTGCGATAGTCTTTCAAAAGAGCTACGGCTCTCTTGCGTTTCAATTCGTTGGACAACCGTTCAATGGTCATTGTTAAATAAATTTTGTTCCTTGTATTTATTAAAGAGTTTTCCATACGAGCTATTTTGTAACTGATGAAGATCGTGAACACCCATGGGAAACGTTTTCAGTATTTCAGTACCGTTGTCCATATTCCGTTTTTTTTAGCAATATTTTTTTACGAGTAAGTCCATATTTATACCCCTCCTACAATCACTTCAGGGGAAAACCTACGCCCATTGAATTTGACTTTCTTCAGTGTTAATGACTTTACATATCAGTTGGTTAAAAGAACGGCAACATAGAGTAAAATCCTGTTGGAATCCTATTCAGCAGACCACTCACTCAGATAAAATCTCACAAGATGTTAGTTCATGTAGGACATTTTGCCTCTCTTTCGTGCGGATCAACAACACAGCTGATCATTGCAATGCCGGCTCAACCATGTGCTTTACTCCATTCGCTTCTTGCTTTATTTGTCATGTATTTGGACCGACTCGTATGTTTAATTTTCTTATTCAATCGTTACTAAGTTACTAACAGGAGTTGCTAGTCTTTTCTTTGAAGCATACGTAAATTTACAAACACCTTTGACTGGAAGAACAATTAGTAAGAAGCGAGAAGTGGCAACCCACAATGCTCTTGTGAACATAATATGACATTGGAACATCATAATAAGCCAGTCTGTTTCAAATAGAGCCAAACGGAGCAGATTCATGGATTTATAAACAAGATAGGCGGTATAGCTGTCTAAGTTATTCTTATCAATTGGTTTCACGCTTATATCAACTAAAAATTTAAACATGATGTTTACCGTTGTACTTCTCGACTCTTTCTGCTAGGTCGGTTGGATTTGTCAAGTATTTTTCATATTATTTTACCCCTGTGTCACTACGAGGAGTTGCAGACCCATGTTAAACTAAACTTGAAAACCATTATTTTGTCCAGGAATGTGGTCATAACATTAATAATAAAATTTCTCACGGCAAGTGTAATTCACGCCAGTGTTTATCAACAATGCGTTGAAATTGTCGACGATTTAAGCAAAAAAAAAAACTGCAATAGCGAATTTTTCCGCACTAATTCATTGTCGCTACATTTGGGAAGGATTAAGATGTCTCTCTCTCCAAGTTAAAATTCAAAAGTAATTTGAACTGAAAAATGTGGATTAACTTTTCTTTTATTGTATCGGTTATCATAATTTCGTGCACAGCAAACTCACCGAGCCTACCGCTCGCGATGTCAGCTTATCGAAAAAATAGAGCGAAAGAAAGTAGCTTTCTTAGACAAAAAATCGATCAAAAAAGAAGCTGAATGGAAACTTTGACCTCTCGAAAAGTTTTCTGAGATGTATTTTTGTGAAAACAAGGACCTTGGAAAAAAGGCTTGGAGTTTGTTTTCTTTTCTGTATTGGCGGCCGTTAGCTTTTGAGTTAGCGTTACTGGAGAAATTGACAACTTTACTAGTAAGAGTGTGTCCATAAGAGAACCAGGCAGGGGGTGATAATGCTCAAATCACGGATTTCGCTCAAACTTGGCACAATTGATGGGTGTGGTGAGATATTAAGCTCAACAAAAAATAAGGTCTCAATGTTGAATCCCCTGGGATTTACAAGGACCCCCCTAAAAATGACAAAATCTACTCATTTTTGCATAATTAATTAGCTAACTTTGGTTTGGCTGTTCAACAAGTAGAAAAGGCAACTTCAAATCTAATCAACTTTATCATCTTCTATGTTTATTCGACTTAATGCTCAGTAATTTATTTGTAGTCTCTAATTCGATCTCTTCCTATTATTTAGCCTAAAGTAAGGGCATCTTCTCACTGTTTTGACCAAACCCTAATTTTAAGGTATTTTAGTGGCTAGCATCTCCCATGAGCAACAACCTATGTACTTAATTCTCACATATTCTTTGAAAGACATCTTTAAAGTTATCAAATCAATCATAAAATATTTGGGCAATCTCATACTTTATCAATAATGACATATTATGTACATCTGACTTGACGCTTATTCGTCATTTGACCAAAACTGGAAGAAACGTAACATTCGTTTTTTTAAACAAAAATAGCACAAAGTTGGCGAGAAGTCACAGGTAAGATGCCTTATTATCGATACTAATAGCGAAATTGTTAGAAAGTGTCACCTGAGGCATGTTTTCTGTGTTATTTATGGACGTTTTGATGGATATTTTATCGAACGCTTGAGTAAACACAAGGAACAAAAGATTTAGTTCAAAACTTCGATCAGTCTAACTTGTAGGTGCAACAACACCCAACAAGGATAAAAGTTGGTGAATAAATGTTACATACACGTCTCTCAGATGCTTTAGTCCAGATTTGCTGTTCCAGTTTCGTCTGGTCCTCTGTGGCGTTACTTCGTGACGAGGTAATGAAATAACTTGAAACATTGCAAAATTAAAAGTGTCGGCTTTTCACCGAACATTCGAAGTCTTTGAAATAAGTTGTAGTCAGAGGGAAAAAAATGATTCCTGAAGGACAAGAAGGATCAGTGACAATCCGTCTGTATCTACGGAAAACAGCCACCTGCTCGAACACACTCCATCTTTGACTTTAGACTCCGCCTAAACGATGGACCCGTGTGAAAAACCTCCATGGAATTCCATGGATTTCCATGGAAAATTCTCCATGGAACTCCATGGAGGATTAGGACATCAATTTCCATGGAATTCCATGGAAATTTTTCCATAGATTTCCATGGAAAATATTTGCATGGAGGATTAGGACATTTCCCATGGAATTCCAGGGATAACATTAGGACACCAATTTCCATGGAATTCCATGGAAATTTCTGCATCGACATTTTCCATGGAAAAGTTCCATGCAATTCCATAGAAACTACTCTATCAATTATTCCATGGATCTCCAGGGAGTTTCATGGAATTCAAAGGAATTACACATTTAAAATATCCAGTGAATTAAATGGAATACATAACAGATTTTGGTCCACTGCAATTTATTTAATCAATAAAAGGACCGCATAAATCTCTTTTTAAAGCAAAAACAAATTAATGTTTACTTGTGACTATATACATTGCAGTTTAGAAAGCAGCAATCATATTGAAGTAGCTTAAATGAAAAATTTAGATTTAATATAAAGCAAGGAACCTTGGCCTGGTGTTTAACAAAAGTAACAGGCGAACAGATGCATAACTGAGAGAAAAAAATAAGCTAATACTTGAATGCATAAGCCGTCAGTATGTAAGACTTAAACATGGTTTTATTTAATGAGACGAAGAAAGGAAGTGCTACTCATTTCCTCGATCAGAACCATGGTATTTAGCTATAGCAAAGTCCTACCTAATCCTTGGGAAAAAACGGCGTCAGCCACAAGTATAATTTATCAGTCTCTTGTACAGTTTTTACGTAGCAGGCATGAAAACTCTAAATATGATATTTCTTCTTATACATCGAAGCAGTCCATCGAAGTACAGTCTTCGATTTCTAATTCTGCCAGAATTAGTAACTATTCCGAAGGATTCCAAAGGCAATTTGCAGGAAAGACCACATTCATATCTGTATAAACAAAAATGATGAAAACTACATATTAAAACCGATAAACCGCACCCGAAACGTCACCCTTCTAAATCTAGCAGAGACAATCAGTTGAGCAACCGAACACGAGTTGTGTACATATTAGCTTACCTTCCTCCTTAAATGTGCGATCCAGCTGAGTCATTGTGCAATCGAAGTCGATTTGAAACAAGCCAAATGTAAACAACCTCACAAGTGATATTTTGCGCTGAAAATAACATATTTTTCGGAAGCATTCATTGCAAAGACAATCCATTTACACAACACTGTCGTGCTGCAGAGAAGTCCGCCTAAAGATTCGAACCAAGAAAACTGATCTTCTACGCATTTCTGTTGGTTCAAAAGCCCCACATGATCGCGTAAGTCACTAAGCGGGGAGGCCTGGATGCCAGTTCAGGCACCAAACATGGCGTCAAATCACGGCACGATCGTTAAGATGTCTGTCTTTAAAGGCTTTAAATTGTGGTCCCTTTGAGAGTTAATTGTACTATTCCGACACTGTAAAAGAGTATAAAAGCAGTGAGAGGAAAATATTGCATTGTTCTCCCAGGTGAGGGAACCTTTGAAAAAAGGCAGCAGGCCTATTCATAGTCTGATGCACAGCCGTTCTTAGTGTCGTCACGCAACGCTCCTCCCCACTAAAAACGGCTGTGTAGCAGACTAGCCTATCCACGGATGCGGCAAAAAAACTCTCATATTGCTTGTGTAGGTTCGCCGAAATACTTATAGTAACAGGGAAAATCTTAGCTCTCAACCAAAAACACTTCGATACTGAGAAGAGTTATGTGCCTAGTGGGATCATTTTCTACCGGCTGTTTAAGGACGGGACCGGCGTACATCGTCTTGTATTTGCTATTCATACGGGATTCCGACTAAACTGATTAGGGCTATTAAGGCACGGTTGTTGTTATATGAGTAAAATCAAACTCCACCTAGCAGCGAGTTACTACTCCGTGGTAGAGTGGTTAGGCTACGAACTGTGGATTCTACGCCCCTGGATCGGTTCACAATCTTGCCACATCGAATTTTTATTAAAAATGGAACACTGTGGTTGAAGAGACTTACACTTTCATGGAAATTTGTTGATCAGAAAATATTTCAAGAGACTTAGAAATTTCATACAAATTTCAAGTAGAGACTTGATCCCGTATGTCATGGCAAAATTACACGTCGGTGTACGGGTCCTGTACAAATAGCGGCACTGTGTCAATGTAATGAAGCAACTGCATGTTGTTAATAACAGTGATCTTCTCATATATTAAATGCAACACTGATTTTAAAAGGTAAATGGCAGATAGCCCTACTAAAAGACAATTTTCTATATTTATTTTTTTTAACAGGATCATTTTTTTATTAAGCACTCAAAACATTCCTCTTTATAGTTAGCAATAAAATTTCTTACACTGGGACTTTCAGCGTCGCCTGTCGGTGAACAATACTTTTGCATTGTCTGTGTAATTTAAACTAAACGCACTATTTTGCTTTTAGAAAGCTTTCAAATATTTCCTATTTTTCTATCCAATAAAAATTGCAGACTTGAACATGTGGTTAACGAGTCGATGAGTTGCTTGATTACTGAATTTCTATGGATTTTCTCATACAAACTGCATGGTTTTCTATCGAACTCTATAGACACGCTATGGCATTCAATGGAACTGCATCGGTACTTCAGGGAACCCCATGGCATTCCATGGAACTATACAATATTCCCTGGAATTCCATGTACCTCCACGGAAACTCCATGGAATTTCATGGCATTCCATGGAACTCCATCACTACTTCATGGAACTCCGTGGAACTCCATGGCATTCCATGGAACTCCATGGATACTCCATGGAACTCCATGGCATGCCATGGAACTCCATGGATACTCCATGGAACTCCTTGGCATGCCATGGAACTCCATGGATACTCCATGAAACTCCATGGCATTCCATGGAACTCATGGATACTCCACGGAACTCCATGACATTCCATGGAACTCCATGGATACTCCATGGATACTCCATGGAAGTGCCGTGGAATTCCATGGATTTTCATCGATTTCCATGGAATTCCATGGATTTCCATAGATTTCCATGGATTTCCATGGATTTCCATGGAGGTATTTCACACGGGGAATCTGTGACGTCGGACTACCGGACTCCGGAATGCGGAATACACTATCTATCGTTTGCACGCGCCACTATCCTGTTATAACTGGTGTGTTTAAAATAGGTTGTGAAAGTCGTGTTACTTGACATTTTGAGTTTATTCGATGTTGACATTAATTACCATGATAATAATCGTCCGTAATAGCCCTTTTTGTAGTCAGACCATGCCATACAATTTTAGACAATTAATGACTTGACACTGGGTATACTTACTTACTTACTTACTTATATTTTAATCCTCGTAGTCTTTACAACTATACAGGATGGTATCTGTATCTGGGTATATTAGTACTACAAAAATATAATAATAACCGTTTAAAAGTGTTGAGGGAAAACTTATGAGGAATACAAAAGGCCCAAAAGGGGACACTAATACATTGCAAAAAAAGTCGGCTAGACCTCTCTAGCTATTCAAGGAAGATGTAAAAGAAAAGTTTCTTGAACACAGAATAATACACTATATTCACTTCTCATTTAACCTGTCATTTGCGGATTCATAGAGTAGAAGTTATCTTAACGGACAAACTCGTATATAGCGGATAGCTCTACTTACGACCGCCATCACAAAACCCCGTTTCAACTCCCACAAAAACTCTGCATTTTTACATTCCGTAGGCGGCCGCTGACACTCAAAGGGTTTACCGGCGAATTAGATGTTAGCTTTGATTTAAAGCTCTCGTAAGCAGACACCCGAAAGAAAATCATATCCTCCTCTGGATGTTGTTGTTGTTGTTGTTTTTTTCTTTTTTTCATATCACGTCCACAGTTATATCGCTGTTTGTCACTGTTATGAATCATTCTTATATATCCGTTTCAGAGTTACCGTTTTTTCACATACACATCCGGTTACACTTGAAAATACAAACTGAATTGTATGCTTTTACCTAAATTACAACAAGACCAGAACAACAGCATAACGATACACTAAAAAACAGTTTTTTGAATTTCCAGTGTTAATTTTTAGCTGGGAGAAGCTTCCGTAAGCGGCCATCTAACCTTTACACCTTTTTTAAAGTGGCTGAATTCCACTTTAATAACTACGCTGCGTGTGAGATTCATTCTTGTAAGCGGCCAGATCCAGTAAAGGACACCTTTTTCTCGTCCCGAGGGCGTCCTCTTACAAGAGCCTCCACTATATTACAATTTTAGGATTTCTCTTACATTTTAACAAATTTTCGTTTAATGACGCACAGTCGAACCTCTACTTGTGACCACCCAACTTAAGTGACCACTTCCCGATAAGCGATCACTTATCCAAAACACCAAATATCCAGTCAAAATGCTTATAGTTGGAACCTCCTGTAAACGAACACATCCACATCCAGTAAACGACCGCGACCACTTTTTACGGTGACAGTCATTGAGAATTTTCCATGATGCAATGGTCTGATCTCTGCGTTCTCTGTATGTCCTGCGCTACTCGGAGTATCAGAGGAACTTTAGAAACAAAATAGATTTATCTATAGTATATTGTAACTTAAAAATTGCGTGCAGTACATTCACTGCAAAAAGTAGATGTGTCCGCACTTTTCCTGGTTAAAGACCTCCTGCAGTTCGACTCTCGTAAAACCCTAATTTTCCTTGGCCAATCCCATGGGCATTATTTACTGGGTGATGTCTTCCGACCAGGAACGGACCGGAACATCAAATGTCTGTAACTTAATTGTTGTGTCTGTCCATAACTCAACATCTGCCTGCCTCAGCACGGCACACTAACCTGGGCTCTAAACTGGTTTTGGTGCCCCAAGAGCACGCAAAAAGGCCCTTCCGAGGATGTCTAGAACGAGAAAATTGATCTTACCTGGGTAGGGTGAGAAATTTGAAATCGAAGTATTACAGTTGAAGTATCTCTTGAGGGAATGTGGGAAGAGTGTTAAACATATGGAGGCGGTTGTTTGAGAAAAAGATCTAACTCAATGTGAAAGTGTGGTGTATTTTGAATTCTACTTGAGAACATTACTGCCACAGTTAGACTTCATAAGACCCCCAGCAGGGTAGAGCATTTGTACGCAATTTGGCCACTTCCCCGGGGAGGGGGGACTCCCGTATGACAAAAAAAAATGGAGTTCTCGTCGCAAGCCAATATGGACGTGTCTCACGTTTTATTTGTCTTTTTGAGCTGGTCTGCACCAAGATCCGGCTTCAGTTCGCTGTTATTTGACGTGCAACTAAAATAACGAAATGGGCTCATTTTTAATCATGGTCTGAATAAAGTTGCCAATAGATTTGGAATTCTAAAATTTTTATTAGCATACAATAACAA